AAGTTCTTGCAAATTTACTGTAAATGAAAGTAGCACTTGCAGCTTCCAGGAAGTGTTGTTGCAGAGAGACTTGCTCATCTCCTCTCCTTTTCTCTGCTGCCTGGAGCCAGGTGTGATGGCTGGAGGTGGAACGGCCAGCTTAGGCCACCAGATGGAAGCCACAGGTTGAACCTGGTCCCTGAAATTTGTGGAGCAATGTATTCTTACTTTGATAAATACATATTTTTTATTTTAATAAAAATAAAATGAATTATATTTAACATGATTGATTTCAGCTTCCTGTCATTCACCTCTGAACCTAATTCTAAAAAATAGCAAAACCAAGAGTTTATAGAGACAGATGAATCTCAGAGTTAGTCGATGATACAGAGGTGCTATCAAGAACCCAGCACTTCCCATGATTACACTCTGCCTTCTTTAGCATATTGGCTTTTTCTTCTCATACTTGGAGCCTCAAGGTTGCAAGATGGCTGCCAGAGATCCAGCATCATATTTGTGTATAAGCAAAAAGAAAGGGAAAGAACAGCTCCCACCATTCACCATTCTCATCTAGCATCTGTCTCTTTCATCAAGAAAGAAAAAAAAGCCTCCCCAAAAGTTCCTTCCACACTTCATTACTCAAGACTTGACTACGTGGCCACTCCTATTGCTTGGGAGACAGGAAAGTTACTGTCTGCTTTTATTTTCTTTCTTTTTTTAAGATTTTATTTATTTATTCATGATAGAGAGAGAGAGACAGACAGACAGACAGAGGAGGAAGCAGACTCCCCTTGGAGCAGGAAGCCCAGTGCAGGACTCAATCCCAGGACCCGAGATCATGACCTGAGCCAAAGGCAGACATTTAACCAACTGAGCCACCCAGGTTCCCTACTGTCTGCTTTTCTAGCCTCTGTTTTGGGGGGTGAGCAGGGGGAAAAGTGTTTGGGCATAGCTATTGGGTTGAGTAACCCAACATTGTCTGCCCCACACAATAGAGATTACAGATATTCTAAAAGCAAAAAGTTTTGAAAGCCCAGACATCTGAACATAGACATATTTTTGTGAGGAGGAGAGAAGAGAGGAGAAAATAAGGAGAATGTCTTTCATAAGCTATCTTTGGGATTCTCAAACTTTAGTGTACATGGAATTTATTGACCAGAAGTATGTGGCGAAATCAAGGCATATTTTATGTATTTTATTTCATGAGTGGCTAAAGAGATTTTAACAGAAAATCTAACTCTATATGCTTTAATTTTTACAATCACCAACTTGGATGCTAACCACCACGTAAGATGCAGCTCTATTTGTCCTTCTTCATTAAACTGTCAAGCCCGGGAACCCTGGGTGGCGCAGCGGTTTGGCGCCTGCCTTTGGCCCAGGGCACGATCCTGGAGACCCAGGATCGAGTCCCACGTCGGGCTTCCGGTGCATGGAGCCTGCTTCTCCCTCTGCCTGTGTCTCTGCCTCTCTCTCTCTCTCTCTCTCTCTCTCTCTCTCTGTGTGTGTGTGTGTGTGTGTGTGTGACTATCATAGATTAAAAAAAAAAACAAAAACAAAAAACTGTCAAGCCCATGGCATCTGAGGGATTCAGCTCTAGAAGCTTTCTTCTCAGGTTTGTATTTTGGAAGTCAAGAGGCCTGGAATGCTGATTATTTTGGGCATCAAAGCCTCAGAGGTGTTCTCTCTGCCTTCCCTACTCAGGGATAGCCACAGTTCTGGAATCCTTACCTTCTTGGAAGCCTCTTGGATTTACAGGTAGAAGTCCTGGAGAATGTTACTTAGAAGTCACATTAAGGGAAAAAAAAACACATCATGGCAGCTCTCTCCCCACCCCCAAAATATTTACTCTATGAAAGTAAGTGTGTAACCCAGATGTTGACTGGTTGAATCTTACTCCACACCCTGTTGGAGTCCAAAGACCTGTGTGAGCTCCTCTGGATCTGTGGTCTCTTGGCAACCTTGGGCTCTGACTTTGGAGTGGAAAAGATGCTTAGATGTGTGGGGGCAGAAATCAGAAAAGCCAAAGTGACAGGGTAGATATTGCCATTGACTCACCTAACAGACTATGCATGAGTAAATAGTGACACCAGAAATTCATGAAGTAAGCAATAACTTGTAAAAAAGAATATGTATGAAAGACCCTCCCTAAAGGGCCTAGGGGAAATGGTGCTGGCTCAAGTAAGTCTGGAAATGAGTAGAGTCTCTAAGAACAGTGTCAGGAGAGCCCATAAGCACCCAGTCCACCTGGCAAAGTTGTTTCCTATGGATTAGCGATTCTAATGTGTCCCTACGTGTATCCTGGAATTGTACAATTGATGAAGGAACTGGACGGCAGATGGCAGAGCCAGGTTTCTCACTGTTGGAGTGGGACATTACAGGCAAACCAGGGCAGAAGGCTGGGATGATCCATGCCTAATGAACTGGAGTTGGAGACATGAATATGAGCCCAGCTGGAGTTGGAGACATGAATATGAACTTAATTAGCTTAATTCAGTTACTGATGGCCACATGTGGAAATATTTATGGACATGGATATGTGCACACACAGATAATCTCTTTGCTCTGCTGGATGGGCCTAGAAGAAATGGTACTCCCCAACGACAACCCATACCGAGATGTTGGTATCTGATATCACTCTCCAGAAGAAGGAACAGGGCTCCCTGGGGTGATGGCTGATTCCAGGTTTGGGGCAGGGAATACGCAGGATGACCCTGGATCATCTTGCAGTGAGGAAAGGAAGGATGTGCTTAAAAAACAAAACCACAACACTGAGGGCTTCAAGGGCCCACTGAAGGAGCACCCACTGGCCAAAGCTAGAACAACTGGAGCCGAAGAACAAGTAATGTATTATATTATAACCCAAAATATAAAATATGCACACATGAGTCCTGGGGACTCGTGTTCCAGATAACTCTGTTGCCTCATGCCTGACCTGCAGTCTGTACCCTGTTCACACTGTCTCCTGAACAAGTGTAACACAACATAGGCTAGCTTGGGAGGCCCCATGCATGCAGTGCCAGTACTACAGCCCTTCCTGAGAGCTCCTGCTGAGCTCCAGGAGTCCTCAAGGGAGGTGTAGTAGCTCAGGTGCCCTACAAAGTCCCATAGATGGGGTGGCTTAGACAACAGATAGTTACTCTCTCACAGTTCTCGAGGCTGGAATTCAAAGATAAAGGTGTTGGTGGGGTTGGTTTCTCCTGGGGCCCCTGTCCTTGGCATGTAGATGGCCATCTATTCCCGTGCCCTCACATAGTCACCCCTCTGTGAATGTCTATGCTCTAATTTACTCTTCTGTAAGAACACTAGTTATATTGGATCACCCCTCACCCAATGACTTCATTTTAAATCAATTACCTCTTTAAAGACCTTGTCTCTAAATACAGTTACATCTGAGGTGTGGGGTATTAGGACTGCCACATAGGAATTGAGGAAAAGGCAGAGGCTGGGGGCTTCCACACACCCAGCAGCCCCTCAGGGGGTGAGGGCTGCTCTGATGCACCTCCTAGGGATCTCCCTGCCCACTGCCACCTTTGCCCACTGCAGGAGGCCTGTTTCTGCCAGTGCATCCACATCAGGGCACCAGGGGAGTGCCGGGTCCGAGGCTGAGGCAGGGGATAGTCTCCCCCAGTCTCCATGCCACCCCACGTCACAGGGTCCCCCAGCAGCTTGCCGCCCACATCTGCAATCCTCCTGCTATGCATGTCCATCCCTTCTGATTGTCACAGCTACTCCAGAGTCTCACCCTCCCAACCAGAAGTGGGCCTTTCCCTCAGACTCCAGAAGTTTGAGCTCAGTCCAAAGAGCCTTTGGGGGAAGAGAATTCCTGGTGTGTTTCTTCCTCTTCCACTCTCTTCCCAAGTCAAGCTCCCAGTCTTCCCCTAGTAGATAGGTAAGCAGATTCACATTAGACCCTAGGAAGGGGCTGATGATGTTTACATCTGGGTCCTGGGCTCAGCCAGTCCAATGTTCCCACGTGTGTCCTCCACCTTGTAGAATCTGGACATCCCTCCTGAGGCCTCTATCCTGTCTCCTTAGCACAATTCAGAGGTCAGGAAAGGGCCTTGGCCTTGAGCTGGCACAGGGAAGCCCTCTCCTGCCCTAAGTCATGCACCTGGACAATGCGTGCTTCTCAGTCTTCCTCTGGAACCACAACTCGTTCATCGGCTCCCCTGTAGAGCGAAAGAACCCTCTATACCCTGGTGCCTCTCTCCCTCAGGGCTCCAACCTTTTTTTCTCGACCTTCATGAACCTCTGGAAAGGTCAGCCAGGTCCAAGGGCAGTGGGCTCGGGCTCAGAAATCACAAGTCAGTCCCATGGCAGCCATATTCTGGGAGTGGGGAAAGGATTCCATGGTGGGAGACTCTGCAGTCACTCACCAAGGCCACATACCAAGGGTGAAAGGAAACGCCACTATCATTAATCACAAAAATCACACAGATGTCTTCCCCTGAACACCCCAGCTCAGTTACGTCCAGCCCAGGGTCCTTCACAGAGCTTTCCTGCCTGGGTGGAGGGAGTGGAATATCATACAGCAGGACCTTCACTTCAGCCAGTGTGGCATTCTTAGAGCTCAACGCCTCCAGACTTGTCCCCTACTTCCTCCCATTCAATAGGTGCTCCTGCCTCCCTGCACCTCTGAGCCCCAGGCTCCTGCTACTAGCCACCTGAGAGCTGAAGTGTACATTTCCCAAAGTGACACTAGCAGGGCCCCAAGCCATTTATTTCACCTACGGGTCCAACACACCTCAGCTTGAGCATCCTCCCATGTCCTCTATGCCCCCCACACCCACGATACCCCTCACTCTACAGAAGAGAGAGAGAGGTTTTTGAAATTCTAGAACAGGGGTTGGCAAACTGTCCTTGAGGGCCAAATCTGGCTGGTACCTGTGTTTGTGCAGGCTAAAAATGATTTTTGTATTTTTAAAGGATTGGGTTTTTTTTAAAGAAAAAGAATTTCAGCAAAGACCATGTGTGGCTGTGGCTCACAAAGTCTAAAATATTTGTTATCTTCCTCTTTACAGGAAAAATCAGATTCCAGCACAGTATACTCTTGTCCTCAAATTAGACCTTGAGAGGGGAACAGGAGGTCTTGTGTGACCTGGAGGCCACCTGCAGACCGGCCCCCGCCTGCCAGCGGCTCCCTGCACCTCCCGGCCTGGGGGCGGTCAGAGGCCACGCAGCACACATTGTCAGGCGGGCAGGACCAGCGGAGGTGCCACTGGTTGAACGCCTCCACAGTGACCCCCACCATCAAAGGAGGGGGGCTAGAGTTAACCCACCCTACACTTCCCACCCCTACCAATGTTCTCCAGATCTATTACTGACTAAATGACTTCTACCCAAATCCTTGTCTTCTGGCCAGCTTTGGAGGAAACCCAGGCTAAAGAATATGTGTAAGGCATTCTGAATAGATAAAACAGAATAGAATCACGAATGTGGGAATGGCCATGTGCATGTGGGCATGAGGAAAGAGGAGCGAGCCAGCCGGGCTGGACCAGATCACAGGCTGTTGAGTGGCAAGGGTGTCATTGGGAAGGGCCCTATCATACAATGCCCAAGAGCTGAGGCTTTATTCTGAGGTAGAAAGGGGAAGCAGGTCACAGCAGGGGAAGGACACAGTTCCCTACTGCCACCACTTGTGAACAATAGCCTGTGCCCTCCTTCTTGCTCTGCTCTCTGGGACTAAGGCAGGTCCCACTGTTGGCAAATAAATCCTCCTCGTGTCCTTCACCCTCCTTCATGGAAATATTGGCACGTAGATTAGTTTCTTTCTCCTACATCTCTATCTCCTCCCTTTGGATTTCTTCCCAGCCAGTGAAATTACCTGTTGTCACCCAAATGTGTAGGAGGTTTCTCTGGGCTCAGAGCTGAAGGAGGATTCAGGTCAGGGAGACCAGATGGAGGGGTGAAAGGTATTGGGAGCTTCAGAGAGCCAAGGCTGTCTAAGAATAGGTCCATGGGCAGAGGTGGGGAGAGACGAGGGGGCATGTAGAAATGCTCCTGGGGGTGGTGGTGGAGGCGAACAGTCAAAACTGAACAGTCCCCTTCATGGCTAGCTGGCCCACCCCCATACAGACCAAGCCTCTCCAGGGTTGGTCCACATGCTGGCTCCCACTGCCGAGGAAGGAGTAGGACCTGGGGGGAGCCCAGAGGGACCAACAAGCTACCTGAAGGACACACTGGCAAATAGACTACATTGCTCAGGATTCCTTTTTGGAAATGATAAACTGACTTTAACTTAAATAAGTAGAAAAGGGACTTGATAGAAAACCCCAGAGTAGCTCACCACATCTATCAGAGAATGAAGATCAGATCAATGGGCAAGAACCATGGGCAGAACTGCCTTCAAGATCATACCACAGGGAGACACTTGTTGGTCTTGGCTGGCACTGCTGCGCGCTGGACACCAACCTGGCACTGCTGTGAGCTCTGCCCCAGGCATCACATGCCAAGTCATTAAAGCCACCATGGTGAATCATGAGATGCCCTCTCTTCTTTTTGTGACTGGCTCCAAATCCAAGACTCAAGGCAGAAGCATCTGCCTGGCCAAGCATATGTCATAGGCCTGTAACCTGCCCATGATCAAAGTAAGCAAGTATCATACAGAATCTGAGTCCTCCACCTGTGTAAGGAAGGACAATGCTGGGCAGCCAAGACAGGTTGCCCAGCACAGTCCACCCCTTTGACTGACCAACACACTTGATTGGTGACCTCATTTCCAAACTCAAACTCCTGAGTGATGACCATGTCCCTTCTGCTTGTTATGGTCCCATCTCAACATACAGAACTTATAATGAAATTGTAAAGTTTACGAGTTAGCATCTCAAAAGCTCATGAATCATCCCAATCACATCAATTGGAGAAAGTAAGAGGAAAGAAAAGTTAGGGCCCCTGAATGGCTCAGTGGTTGAGTGTCTGCCTTTGGCTCAGATCGCGATCCCAGGGTCCTGGGATCGAGCCTACTTCTCTCCCTGCCTGTGTCTCTGCCTCTGTGTGTGTGTCTCTCATGAGTAAATAAACAAAATCTTTTTTAAAAGACAAAAGTAAAGAAGAGTAAATCTATACAAATATTTATGTGACCTAACCAAGGAAAGACATGCAAATACAACCTTATCCTCATTCCAGCAACTGACCATGAAGCCATAGCTGCTGCCTGTGATTCCCACTTTCCCTTCCCTGCTGCAGTCCCTGCACTCTCAGCCAGCTTGGAGGAAGGTTCTTGACCTCACCCCTGGGTAACCCAAGTCCCTAGGGTCTTCCACTAAATTTCACCATAGGATGTGGAAGTACTAGGAGGTCCTCTAGGTTCCATCCATTCTCCTGACCACCTTCACTGTGTGGCCACCATTGAGTCAAACACCAAAAGCAATACGTACCATAAGCCATGAATATCACGGTGAGTAGACCAGATGTCATCTGGGGCTGCCCTGTGCTCTGAGATCTAATTAACATTGGCTCCACATCCCTGATTCTATGTCTTGTAGGCATTCAAATCCCTCCCAAAGATGTCTGCAAATGCCCCAGGGAAAAACATCTTTATGATCATCCTGTTCTCTGAGCCCCCGATTCAGGGCTAGCTGGCTAGCTTTGTTCTACACAGCACCAACTTGGATGTGTGAAAAAAAACAGCTCATTTTGCCAAATCGGCCACTCTTCTTTCTTTCTACCTTTGCCCTCCTCTCTCTATCCTTCCATCTGGTCCTTCCCCAGCCCCAAATTCCTCTATTTTATCATGCCAAGTGACTTGACTACAACCTCATTCTGAGGACTCACCTGACACATGCATCTAACTTACAGGAACTTAGCTATAGCAGTTACCAAAAGTGTGGGGGGGGGGAATACACATTAATTTAGATCATGCTGTGGGGGATGCTTGGGTGGCTCAGTGGTTGAGCATCTGCCTTTGGCTCAGGTCATGATCCCGGGGTCCTGGGATGGAGCCCCTGGGATGGAGCCTGAATTCAGGCTTCCCAATGGAGCCTGCTTCTCCCTCTCCTGCCACTCCCACTGCTCATGCTCTCTCTCTCACTTTCTCTGTCAAATAAATAAATAAAATCTTAAATTTTTTTTGATCATGTGGGATAATCCATGTCCATGTACTAGAAGGTACTGGTACGTACCCAATCCTGACTTCATTTATCGTAGTGTGGGTTTCAGCCATTTATGGTGATCTTAGAATTGAAAGACATGTATTTATTATACAAAATAATTGCCTCTAAATGCAGGCCAATCACTGATTCCTCCCAACCAGAGGGCAAGTACATCTGTGATGGGTGTACTGAGAGAGGGGATGTCAGTATCCAAGGAGGCCAGGATACATAACATACTGTGCCCTATGGATGATTTAAGAAAACTTCCAAAAGTAATTTTGGCTAATTAGGACTTCACATTCTGAGCTGGTTTTAGAATTTAATGCCCTTTTAAGACATGACTCAACTTGATTTTTTTTGTTTTATTGCTTTTAATTCACAAACCTTATTTTTTAAAAATTTTTATTGGAGTTCAATTTGCCAACATATAGCATAACACCCAGTGCTCATCCTGGCAAGTGCCCCCCTCAGTGCCCATTACCCAGTCACCCCAACCCCCACCAACCTCCCCTTCCACTACTCCTTGTTCATTTCCCAGAGTTAGGCGTCTTTCATGACAAACCTTATTTTTTATACCAATTTTAGGTTCATAGCAAACTCATTAGTGTGAAGTACAGATTTCTCCTATATCCCCCATTCTCCCACATGTGCTCATCCTCCCCTATTATCAGCAGTCTGCACCAGAGTGGTGCATTTGCTACAAACGATGAACCTTCACTGACAAACCTTTATCACCCAAGTTCCATAGTCTATACAAGGGGTCTCTCTTGGCACTGTACATTCTGTGGGGTGGCACAAATGAATAATGACACGTACCCATCATATAATATCACACAGAGTATTTTCACTGCCCTAAAAATCCTCTGTGCTCTAATCATCCCTCCCCCCAGACCCCAGCAACCATGAGTCTTTTTGCCATCTCCATAGTTTTGCTTTTCCCAGAATGTCAGATGGTTGGGATCATACAATTTGAAGCCTTTCAGACTGGCTTCTTTCACTTACTAATATGCACTTGAGGTTCCTCTGCCTTCTCATGGGTTGATAGTTCATTTCTTTTTAGTGCTGAATAACATACCATTGTATGACCATACTACAGTTTATTCATTTACCTGCTGAAAATATCTCAGTTGCTTCCAAGTTTTGGCAATGATAAATTGAGCTACCATAGACCTAAGTTCTCAATTCATGTGCAGGTTTCTGTGTGGACCTAAGTTCTCAATTCATAAGGGAGGAGGGGCAAGATGGCGGAAGAGTAGGGTCCCCAAATCACCTGTCCCCACCAAATTACCTAGATAACCTTCAAATCATCCTGAAAATCTACGAATTCGGCCTGAGATTTAAAGAGAGACCAGCAGGAATGCTACAGGGAGAAGAGTTCCTGCTTCTATCAAGGTAGGAAGACGGTAGGAAGACGGGGAAAAAAAGAAATAAAGGAACAAAAGGCCTCCAAGGGGGAGGGGCCCCGCGAGGAGCCGGACTGAGGCCAGGGCGAGTGTCCCCAGGACAGGAGAGCCCCGTCCCGGAGAAGCAGGAGCTGCACCAACCTTCCTGGGCAGAAAGGCGCCCGCAGGGAGTTGGAGCAGGACCCAAGAGGGCGGGGATGCCCTCGGGCTCCCTGGGACACTAACAGACACCTGCGCCCCGGGGGAGTGCGCCGAGCTCCCTAAGGGCTGCAGCGCGCACGGCGGGACCCGGAGCATCTCGGAGGGGCTCGGGCGGCAGCTCCGCGGAGGGGGCTGCGGGGCGGGAGCGCGAATCCAACAGCGCAGGCCTCGGAGCACAGGGCGCCGGGACACAGCCCAGGACCCGGCCTCCCCCCGGGACAGGCAGAGGCCGGGAGGGCCCAGGACAGCAAGGATGCTCCTGTCGGGGGCTGAGCAGATCAGCGGCCCCACCCCGGAGCCTCCAGGCCCTGCAGACAGAGAGCTCCGGAGTTACTGCGGGAGCTGACTCCAGGGCTGCAGAGCTGGCTCCGCCACTGCCGCTGTTCCTCCTGGGGCCTCAGGGGGTAAACAACCCCCACTGAGCCCTGCACCAGGCAGGGGCAGAGCAGCCCCCCCAGTACTAACACCTGAAATCAGCACAGCAGGCCCCTCCCCCAGAAGACCACCTGGACGGACCAGTTCCAGGGAAGTCAAGGGACTTAAAGTATACAGAATCAGAAGATACTCCCCGTGGTTTTTTTTCTTTTTCTTTTTGATTTCTGTTTGCTTC